GATAAATGTAGGCCCATTACAGATGGAGAAGGAGAATTTACAATGGAGCAGAAGGAAATGGCAGAGAAATTCCTTTTCATTTGTCTTCATGAAGATGATTCAGCAAATCTCACAGAAAAATGGGCAACCAAATGACTTGTGTAACTGAACTGCTGAAAGAATTAGTCTTAGTAAAATTTGCCGAGGTTCGATAAATCTCCGGGACCAGATAAGCTTCATCCCAGAGTGTTAAACGGAGTAGCAACAGAAATAACGATATAGTATTTCTCATAATTCTAAAACGAAAGCACGTTGCTGGGACTGGAGGGTATGAGCTATAGGTAGGGACTATTTTCCCCAGACTGTCAGTGACTAAGGGGTGACCTTATACAGGTTTATAAAATCATGAAGGGCATGGATAGGGTAAACAGCCAAGGACTTCTTTCTACAGTGGGGGAGTTCAAAAGAGGGCATAGGTTTAAGGTAAGGAGGGAAAGATTTAAAAAGGACTGAGAGGTAACTTCTCACGCAGAGGGTGGTGCATGTCCAGAATGAACTACCAGGGCAAGTCGTGGAGGCTGGTACAATTCCAATATTTAAAAGGCATCTGGATGGGTAAATGAATAGGAAGGGTTTAGGGGAATAAGGGCCAAATGTTGGCAAATGGGACTAGGTCAGATTGTGATGTTTGGTCAGTGCGGATGATTAGACCAAAGGGTCTGTTGCCATTCCGTATGACTCTTCTTCGAAATGCTAACCGTTTCTCTCTCCACGGATGCCGCCAGACCTGCTGAGTTTCTCCAACACTTGGTTTTTATTTTATATCTTTCATAATTTTATAGATTCTGGAAAGGTTCCTACTAAAAGGCTTCCTGACTCGAAGGTACCAAACGTTACCCTGCTATTTAAGGATTTTGGGGTAGCAAGGAGGTTCAGTGGTTAGCATTGCTGCCTCTCAGCACCAAGGACTTGGGTTCGATTCCACCCTCGGGTGACTGTCTGTGTGGAGTGTGCATATTTTCCCCATGGGCTTCCTCTGGGTGCTCCGGTTTCCTCCCGCAGTCCAAGGATGTGCAGGCTAGGTGAACTGACCATGGGAAATGCAGGGTCACAGGGATAGGGTTGAGGGGTAGGTCTAGGTGAGATGCTCTTTGGAGGGTCAGTGTGGACTCAATGGGCCAAATGATCTGCTTCCATACTGTAGGGTTTCTATGAGGATGTGTGGAGAACCTCAGGCACAATAGGAGATGTCAGCAGCAGAGAAAATATCGGAATCCCTTATATAAAGGATACAAGGACTAAACATTTAGAAAAGATGTGCAAAATTGGGCAGAGTCAACATGGACTTATGAAAGGGAAATCATGTTTAACAGACTTGAAGATTTTTGAGGATACTCCTTGTAGATAAGCAATGGGGCAAAAGAGGATGTGATATATGTGGATCTTCAGAAGGTTTATGATAAGGTCTCATGGAAAGTTAGTATATAAAATTAGAGGACATGGGAACTGTTTCACATTTTCCCACATTGTACTCATTTGCTCGATTTTTGCCCCCTCACTCAGCATATCTATATCCATCTGCAAACTCTTGTTTTCTTCATAACATACTCTCATAACTGCCTTAGTGGTCTCTGTAAATTTAGCAACAATGCCTTCACAACCAAAGAACAAAGAAAATTACAGCACAGGAACAGGCCCTTCGGCCCTCCAAGCCTGCGCCGTTCCAGATCTTCTATCAAACCTGTCATGTATTTTCCAAGGATCTGTATCCCTCTGCTCCCTGCCCATTCATGTATCTGTCTAGATACATCTTAAATGACGCTATCGTGCCTGCCTCTACCACCTCCGCTGGCAACGCGTTCCAGGCACCCACCACCCTCTGCGTAAAGAACTTTCCACGCATATCTCCCTTAAACTTTTCCCCTCTCACCTTGAAATCGTGACCCCTAGTAATGGAATCCTCCACTCTGGGAAAAAGCTTCTTGCTATCCACCCTGTCTATACCTCTCATGATTTTGTAGACCTCAATCAGGTCCCCCCTCAACCTCCGTCTTTCTAGTGTAAATAATCCTAATCTACTCAATCTCTCTTCATAGCTAGCGCCCTCCATACCGGGCAACATCCTGGTGAACCTCCTCTGCACCCTCTCCAAAGCTTCCACATCCTTTTGGTAATGTGGTGACCAGAACTGTACGCAGTATTCCAAATGTGGTCGAACCAAAGTCCTATACAACTGTAACATGACCTGCCAACTCTTGCACTCAGTACCCCGTCCGATGAATGAAAGCATGCCGTATGCCTTCTTGACCACTCTATCGACCTGCGTTGCCACCTTCAGGGTACAATGGACCTGAACACCCAGATCTCTCTGTGCATCAATTTTCCCCAGGGCTTTTCCATTTACCGTATAGTTCGCTCTTGAATTGGATCTTCCAAAATGCATCAACCCTTAGCTAAATCATTGATACAAATTGTAAAAGGTTTAAGCTCCAGCACAGACCCTTTTAGGTCTTCAGTCATCACACAAGGACTTATTTATGGATTTGTTTTTGTGCTAACGAGGCAATCTTTCACCCAAGCTAGTATGTCATACCCATCACAGAGCGCTTTTATTTTCGCATTACCCTTTGATATGGCTCCTTTTGTATTCATTCACAGGGCAGGGTTTTACGGGGGCTTAGCCAGCATTTATGGCTCATTCTTATTGCTCTCGAGAAGTCGGTGAATTGCCTTCTTAAACCGCTATCCGAGTTTCTCCTATCACCGATAATGGAGAGTTTTGTTAGAGTCCACCTCAAGTTAGTTGGTTAACTGTCCATTACCATTCACAACCAGATCTGGCAGAATTGCAGTACACGATCTGATCTAATGGCTACGTAATCACTTAGCCCTGTTTATCACATGCAGCTTCTACAGCTTAGCTTGTACTTTTGTTGTAGCTTCAGGTTGGCATCTCATTTTTAGGGCGTTTTTTTTTTAAGACAAAAAAAAAAAAAAGATATCCATTCTTCCATCTAGCATCATCAACAAGGCCAATGTGTTGCCCATAATAAATGTCCTCGACATGGAAGGTTCGCTAGTTCATTTCAGAGGGCAGGTAGTAGTCAACTACATTGCTGTAGGTCTGGAGTCACATAGGCTGGACAAAGTAAGCATGACAGATTAGGACTCTTGTAGCACAGTGTTAGCGCTCCTACCACCGGACCAGGGGGCCTATATTCACATTCCATCTACACCAGAGGTGTGTAATAATGTCTCTGAACAGGGCAATTAGAAAATTTAAAAATACGTCCTTATAAAAGGACACTAGTGAAAAAAATTGTTTAAAACAACAATCGATGATGGCCTCAGTCTTTGTTAACACTAGATTTTTATTCCAGATTTATCAATTAAATTAATTGATTTTAAATGCCATCAAGCCACTGGATTATTAGTCCAGTAACATCTTTTCAGTAGCCAGTTAACCTTCAAGGAGTTTAATCCTTGTAATCACCAAATCAAAATTCTGAAAAACGTTCCATTCCATTGCATAACGAGCATTAGACTAGCCCTGTAAATATCCTCAGATCTTCTAGAAAATAACCTACACTACAAAGCGCTAAAAGGCACCCAAGTTAATGAGAGAGCGCTAATTTGTGATGAGACATATGCCATGTTCATTACAGTGACAGATCTTAATTGCGTTGCGGAGATCAAATCTTTGAAATCAAGTTTATTTCATCTTGTTGGCAAACCTTGTTAATTTGCAAATGCTTCACTATTTCACGAAAGCCCTTCTAAGTATTTTCTGCGTTTATCAGATACCAAGTACATAAATCATATTAACCAATCATTGGAGAAATTGATTCCAAACATTTTTCACTTTCACTCGTTTGCAAATTGATATGCACTACTTAAGCAGTAACATGCAGAGTTCACGTTTATAGTCTTGTTTGTCCAACTGTCATAACAGCTTGAATGTCACCAGTGTTTTTTATACTCTGAAGAATGATACAGATTGCATTACTGTCAGACACCAGAATACACAGGGCTAGAGAATAATATCTCAGACTAGCTAGAAAATAGTTTGCTTCCTATATTCATGCATTGATTTTCCTATAAAATCTGTAGTTTTAGTAAACTTACCCATATTGTTTAACATTTTACCAGGAGAATAATTCAAACATTAACCACATATTTTAAAAACTGTAAAGCACAAGATTAAGAATTAATTCAGTTTTTTTTAAAAAATAACACATTTAAAAATACTAAAATGTATTCATTCAATTAAGGAACTCTGCTCCTCACCATTTAATGCCAAATTCAAGGACTCATTGTATGCTTTACGTTTGTTAAATAAATAAATGTAACAAAATCTTTGATACATTATGATAACTAGAGTCAAGCTAGTTAATCCAGGATTTGCATTATTTCTTGGCTTTTATCCACTATGTTTTTAATCAAAAGCCCTGGGTTCCACATTTTATTAATTTCCTTCTTGACCTATTTTGTCATCTTTAAAATTTGTACTTGAATTCCTCCAGGTCTCTCTTGTTAAACAAAGGTGGTCCACGGTGTCTGTAAAGTTGACGTAGAACGATTTTGTTGCACTACCTGAAGAAGTGCAGAAAACCCTGTGGGTACCCTGTTGATGCTACCCCCTCAGCTAAAAAACACCAAAAAGTCCAAACTGCATTTTATGGGACCTTGCTGCATAACAACCATGACAGCTCTTCAAAAGGAATTAATTAGGTAGCTACAAAGCACTTGGGCAATTCACAGGACATGCTGACATTCTATTTAAAAGTCTTTTATTTTACTCAGTACAAACAAGGGAAGCAAAATTAAGCTGGTCATGCAAATGAATCACCAGCAGGCAAATGTATATTGCCTATATTAACATTTTGGCTTTTCTAACACCAATATGATCGTGGGAACATTTCCAAAACAGTGCTTTTCTGGCAATGAATTCATAAATAAGGCAAAGGGTGAAACTGAATCATTTTATTTTGGTATCGGAATAGTTGGATGAACGAACTTACTTAGGTTCAGTTCTTTGAAATCAGGTCGATTGGCCGAGGCACACAATTGGTAGAAGATATGGTAGTTACGCTCATCTTCTGCCTAAACAAAGACAAAAGGCAAAAATGTTTTTCTCTTAGTGAGATTTTCTTTAACACAAATTTCTCTTCTTCCCGTACTCGATTCCTGCCTTACCTACTTTTCTCATCAACCTGTTCAGAGATGTTATTACACAACTCTGGAGCAGGTGGCACTTGAACCTGGGCCTCCCAGTCTAGGGGTAGGGGCATTAATCACTGCACCACAGATGGCCTCTTCATTCTTGTTTTATAAGGGAGATCTGTGACCCATTCCAGGATGTCAATATGCAACATACAAACTAGTTTAGAATTATCCAGCTGATGGGTAAGACAAGTTGTCCTTCCAAAGTTCTTTCTACTCCTATTAAAGAAAGAAGAGGCTTTTGATTCATTCTCCATAGAGCCCTGCCAGTGTTGAAACTTCAGTTGTTCTGCACCTATCACTCCAAGGTACTGGAGCACAATTGCACTTTATAACCAGTTTGCAGCATGTTCACAGCAGGCCAAGCAGCATCAGAGGAGCAGGAAAGCTGACGTTTCGGGCCTAGACCCTTAAGGATGCTGCTTAGCCTGCTGTGTTCATCCAGCTCTACATCTTGTTACCTCAGATTCTCCAGCATCTGCAGTTCCTACTATCTCTGCAGTATGTTCACCTTTCTTTTCATTAATGCTTGACGTTTTAAAAGCAGTCTTGTTGAATTTGAGGTTTACTTAAAATTGTTTTACAGCATTTGCTGAATTACTGTCCTCTCGAAAGCAATTTTAAAAAATAAAACAGAATATGATGGTAGTAGATACTATTTAATTGTTTCATTTGTGATGTTAAATGTAAATAAAACTGCAAAGTGATTGTAAGTAATTAAATATCAAGCGTTCTGGGTGTCTTGAAAATGAACCAGAAATGCTACGTAAACAGATTGATCGATAATACACATTTGGTAGCTATCTTTTGTATTTTAAATCCAAGTACATATTACCCTCCAACTAACTAATAATGAAGAGATTTTTTTTTTTAAAAATCATTCAAGGGTTTAGAGCTTCATTGGTTGTGCCAGCTCTACTACCCACTCCTAATTGCTTTGTGGTGGTGTTAATGCTATAGTGAGTTCCAGGATTGTGATCCAGCTACTGCGGGGAAAGGTGATATATTTCCAAATCAAAAAGATCACTGGCCAGGAGCAAATCTGCAAGTAGTGACGTTCCTTTGTTTGTTTTAAATTCACTCATGGAACATGGGCAGCGCTGGCTGGCCAGCATTTATTGCCCCTCCTAGTTGCCTTTGAGAAGGTGGTGGTGACCTGCATTCTTGAACTGCTGCAGTCCATGCACTAAGTAGACCGACAATGCCCGTAAGGAGGGAGGGAATTCTCGGACTTTTACCCAGCGACACTGAAGGAATGGTGATATATTTCCAAATTCCATGTATCTGCTGCTCTTATGCTTCTACATGGTTGTGATCATGGGTTTGAAAGATACTGCCTAAAAAAGCTTTTGTGAATTTCTGCAGTACCTATTGCTGCTATTGCTGCTATTACTGCGCGTTAGTGGCGGAGGGAGTGAATATTGGTGACTGTGGTGCCAGTCAAGCAGGTTATTTTATCTTGTTTGGTGTCAAGTTCCTGGAGTGTTGTCAGTGCTGCACTCATCTAGGCAAGTTGGCAGTATATCATTATGTTCCTGAATAGCGCCTTTTAGACAGGCTGTATTGGAGTACAACTCTGCTCCTGCTGATGGCCCAGAAGGCCTCTGGATGACCGGTCTAGATCTGGTAGAAGTCTATCGCCTTTAGCAACTCTTGCAGCAATGTCCTGGAACTGGTCATCAACCACAACCAGCTTCCAATGTGCCAGGTATGACTCCAACCAGCAGAGAATTTTCCCCTGAACGCCATTAAATGTAGTTTTGAGAGGGAAGAGCAGCCACAGAAAGTCAAGTCAAGGTCTGACTGACTCAGCATCCACTTCTTTTTCTAGTACTGTTTCCTCCTCCTTTCGCCTACATAACAAATAAGAGCAGAACCACACAACCTTATCAGGCTGCTCTGCCATTCAGTACAATCAGGGCTAATCTTTTGTCTCAAATTTACTTTCCTGCCTGCTCTTCATATCTCGATTGCCCATGTCAACAAAATTCCATCAACCACAGCAATAAACATAATCAGCAATGGAACATCAATTGCCCTCTGATGTACTGAATTCTAAAAGAAAAAACACAATATTTTCAGTGAATTAATTCCTCATCTCAATCTTAAATGATTGTACCACCTCCCTCTCGAGGCTTTACCTTTGTTTCCCGATTCCCTAGTCAGAGGAAAACAACTTCATGTCTACTATATAAAGACCCTCATAACCTTGCATGTTTCAGGGAACTTAGTTCTCATAATTATGGGCTTTTGAGTTGAATAATCAACTGTAATCATAATAAATGGCACAAAACTGAATGGCCTACCCCTGCTCATATTTTCTATGTTCTATGTAATTCCAGACAGCAAGGTCTAATTTAGTCAGCTCATAGGATTACCCTTTCAACCCAGGAAACAATCTAGTAAACCTTCACTGTATTGCCTCCAAAGCAAGAGTATCCTTCCTCCAGTATAAAGACCAAAAGGTGTGACCTCCAATTTCCAAATGATACAGCTGCATTTGAAAATTCCCCAATACAGATTTTGGACATGCACCCATATGCTACGGTGGCTCAGTGGTTAGCACTGCTGCCTCACAGCACCGGGGACCTGGGTTCAATTCCACCCTCGGGCAACTGTGTGTGGAGTTTGCATATTCTCCGCATGTCTGCGTGGGTTTCCTCCGGGTGCTCCGGTTTCCTCCCACAGTCCAAAGATGTGCAGGGTAGGTGGATTGGCCATACTAAATTGCCCGTAGGGATATTTAGGTTAGGTGGGTTAGACAATGGAAATGTAAGGATAGAGGAGTGAGTCTGGGTGGGATGCTCTTTGGAGGGGCGGTGTAGACTTGTTGGGCTGAATGGCCTGTTTCCACACTGTAGGGATTCGATGATTCTGTGCTATGATTCCATGCTTTACCATTTTGTGGCACCACATCATTCCACTACAGTTAGACAACTTGTATCAGTAGAAAGCTAATTGTTCTTAACAATTCTCAATCACGAAAAACCCATTAGTCAGTAACCTTATCAATAGAACCACAATCATTTCAGACCAATAATTAGACTTGTTAAATTAAAATCCATCAGGCAAGCCAAACAGAATAAATAGTTGTATAGTAAATTGGTACGGCAGATGATGGATGCTTTAGTAAAACTGTTGCTAGACAGAGTAAAAATTATAGTAATCATTTCAAATAATCTAACATATGAACAGAAGTGTAATATTCTACTTTTGCAGAAGGTGGAAAGCAGTCAGTTTCATAATTTTGGAAATCACTTCAATTTTTCAGCAAGAGAGAAGTCATTATTATCTCTATTTTATTATCTCTATATATTATCTCTATCTCTCAGATCAGTGTGGCTCAATCCTATCTAATGTTACGTTCTTCCTCAAGACATAGATGCAACAGAAAGCAGACAAATATGCAGAATAATAAAAAAAAGTGACACAAAGTAGAGGGGAACTAACTGGACAGTGTAACTGGTAAAACACCGTTTAGGATAATAAATGAGGAAATTCAGATATTTTATTCATGAATTTAGGATAAATTCTCTTTTTGGGAATATGGATGACAATTCAACATGTGATACGTAAAAATCTACAAATCAAATTGATAACATCAATACATCACGTGAGTATTGAGTGAAAAGTAATATGCTTGAACGTTTTCAACTATGCCAACAAAACCCAGCACCAAAAGATGGCAGCTATTTTGTAGGGTCAGGGATTGATCAGCTGAACTCCAAGATTAGGTGAAAGTCAGCATTTATTTTTGTATCTTCCTGTCTGGTTTGAATCTTCAGTGAAAAAGTGACATTTTAGAGTTGTTGTACTCCATTTCACCTTATATAGAATATTTTAAAGTTGATTTGTTATTGTGTATGACCTAATAAATTCTACTGCAGATATCGTGGATACGAACCTGGAAAACCACTCTGGACTTTTCTAGCAGATAGGTTCGCATATTGGCACCAATTATGTAATATTGTCGGTCAAAACCAATTTGGATGTATTTTCCAAAGCGGCTGCTGTTATCATTCCTTGTTGTTTTAGCATTACCAATGGCCTGTTTAAGAAGAAAGAAAATGTGAAATTATTAAAACCTGGTAATGACATATGAACCTAGATGTTTTAAGAAGCTCAGTATTCTACAGAATCAATAGTGTTGCAACAAGAGCAGTGGAGCTGCAAGTTAATTTTTCAGCAGGCAAACCCACTTTATTACCCAATATCACAATCCGGGGAACAACAATCACCACGATCACTATTATTGCAATGCCTTTAAATGTAAGGGACCATTGAAAAAAGATCCTTCAGAGTAGTGCTATAAATTATAAAACCACATCAGGAGGCTATAGGTCAAGTGGCCAAAAGCTTTAAAGATGTAGTTTTTAAGTAGTATCTTAAAGGAGAAAAGTGAGGTATAGGAATGGAATTCCAGAGCTTGGGCCGTAACAACTGAAGGCAGGGCTACCAATTGTGAGCAATTATGGTTAGGAATGCACAAGAGACCTGAATTAGACAACTGTTGATATCTCAGAGGGTTGCAGGATTAGAGGAGATTACAGAGATAGGCAGAGGCAAGACAGATTCGGATATACGGATAAGAAGTTTATGAATCTATGACAAATATGATAGTTGCTTAGATAATTTGATGACATCAACAATGTAAAAACAAATTGCTGGAAAAACTCAAGAGGTCTGGCAGTATCTGGGGAGAGAGAAACAGTTAGCATTTTGCGCTCAATATGACTTGTCTTTGGAACCAAAGTTCTGAAGAAGTGTCATTTTGGACTCAACGTTTAACTCTGTTTCTTTCCCCACAGGTTTAGCCAGACCTGCTGAGGTTCGACAGTGCCTTTTTGTTTTAAGTTTCTGATTTCTAGCATCCACAGACTGTATATCTGAACGTTAACTATGAGTTCTACTTCTCCATCATTTCTCCCAACATTGCACTGCTTGTATGTCATAAGACTGGTTGCCAATATGAATTGTTCGTTTAGCTGTAATTTTTTCCAATACTAAAAAAAAATCTGAAGCTATCATCTTGAATCCTCACTATGAACTCCACAATCCCTCCACTGATTGCAAGCTGAAGCTGACAGCTTCCAATCTCCGATTCATACACAAGCCAAATTTCTAAGCCCACAAACTCCCCATCACAAGCAGCATCAATTCCATCATCATAACATCAACCTTTACCTTAAGCCAGTCACCAACAACTCATTCCTAACTCTTCATAAGCAGTTCCTGCCGCTGAAGTACTCAATTATCTCTAATCGATTCCGAACTCACCTAATCCAATGTTCTTCTCACCTGCATTCCAACCTCGTTTTCTATCCTGCACCGAGCACCCCTCCTCACATTTCTTCCTGAACTGCATGTAGGTTGTGATGCCAAAAGCCTCCAGTTTAAAATTTTCACTTGTGTTTCAATTCTTTGATGATTTAGGTCTTTCCTGCCCCTAGCCTCCAGCTTCTACGCACTCACCACTACTCCCGTTTCTGAATTTTCCATTTAATTGTAACTGGCCTTTTGTGCATTTTCCCATACCAACACCAGCTATTTTCTGAAATTATACTGTTCTTCTTCACCTCCCTCTCTTACGTCATCCATCTAAGCATATCCATTGTTATTTTAGCATTTTGTTAAAATCCAACTATACCTGACACGTTTTTTAAAATTACTGAAATAAAAATCAAAAGGCCAAAAGCTTTAAACTAAAATAACTGGTTACTGTTATCCTTGTTGCAATAATTTCCATTATTTACAACTAATTCATGTCATTTGTTAAACTAGCAATTAGAAAGGCAAAATTGTGAGGTATAGAAGTATAGATTTCTACTGCCCAACAGTTCATTATTCAGTCTGGCTTAGCATTACCCAGCCATCTTAAAAAAAAAGGAACACCTTTGAAGCAGAACCTCAAATGGTATCTTTCAAAATGGAATTGCTACCAAAAAGTGGAAACGTGTAGAGTAGCGGAATATAGACATGCAACTCCTGTGTGAAGATTGACCAGTCTCATACCATCAGAATTCAGGCAGTTCACCATAAATAAAGAGGACCAATCAAGATGCCACTTTTTCATTTTGTGAGTTAAGTGTCAAAACCTTTCTAAAAATGTAATGTGTAGTTAGCACTCGACTGATTTTTACTGGGTTAAAAATTAAAGTCATGTAACAAGTTAAATTAACTCTCCTGGAGAACACCTGAGCTGCTAATTAGGTGAACTAGTTTGGTGTAGTTCTTGGACTGTAGCTTTAAAGAATAGAAATACAAGTGGAGTGCAGAATTCAAGCAGAGAGTTTGGTGCAGGGAGAAAGTGGTGCTTTTTGCCCTGTTCTTTTATTTACCTTTTTAACATATCAATACTTGGTACCTACTCTGGAGCAGTGGAATAAGCTGTTGGTGAGTAGTTGGTAATTTATTCTATTCTAAGTATAGTTAAAATTGTGGCAAGCCAGCTCAGAGTGAAATGTACAGGTTTTGGATAGTGGAACATCATAGATTCACCAGGTGTCCAAAGTGAACACATCTGCAGGGCATGTCACCATCTGCATAAGCCTGACAGCTGGGTTTTGTAACCAGAGTGGCGGCTGGAGTCACTTCTGTGCACCAACAAGGCAAAGGATAGTGTGTTTAGTAAACTTAGGGGTGTGCAGGCAGATAGGAATGGGTGACCATGAGGCAAGCGAAAAGGACCAGGCATGTAATAAACAAGTTTCCTGCAACAGAGTTTGGGATTTCACTCAAATTGCTTTTCTGCCTTAGATAATAGTGAGGGAGATTGCTGCTTAGTGGAGTGTAATCAGAGACAACTCCGTGCCACTCTGGGTGAATCAGCAATAGAGGAGAGAGGAAGATTGGAAGAGTAATACAATATGGGATACTTTTGTTAAGGGAACAGGAAGGGGCTGCAGGCCATACATCTGGCAAATGGTGAGCAGGCAGGAGATTATGGTTCAGGTTGATACTAATGACATAGGAAAGAAATGGATTAGGTCCTGAAAATAGCTTGCAGCAAGCCAGGAATGAGACTCAAAAGCAGTAGTCTCAGGCTTACTCCCAGGCCCACATACTAGTGAGCATAAACACAAGTGAATTGAGCAATTGAACATTTGGCTGGAAAACAGGCGTAGGAGGAAGGACATCTGATTTTTGAGGTATCTGGAGCAGTTCTAAGGTTGATGAGACTTGTATAAGATGGATGGATTGTATCTTGGCAAGACCAGGAGATTTGCTAGTTCCGTTGGGGAGGGTTTAAACTAGATGGGCAGGCTGATGGAAACCTAAAGATGAACTTAGATTCAAGTCAAGCAAGACTGGCAAAAGAATAATAAGCAAAAACAGAAGACAGATGAAGCAATACTAAGCATCAAAATGGAGAATAACGTTAAAAATGCTGATTTAGAGGTATTTTCTGAATACATGCAGCATTCACACAAAAGGTACATGATTTTAACGTACAAATTGAGATAAATAGATTTAATTGCCATTACAGTGATGTGGCTGCAGGGTGACGGAGATTGGGAACTGAATATCCAAAGACATTCAAACAAATAAAGGAAAAATAAAGGTGGAGTAGCACTCCTAATGAGCATAATATTAGCGCAATAGTAACAGAGAATCTTCAGTGAAGGATCAAGATATAGGATCAGCTTGGGTGGGCCCCGATTAGAAGCAAACATTGGTGGGAGTTTGAGATAACAGTGCGGAGCTGGATGAACACAGCAGGCCAGGCAGCATCAGAGGAGCAGGAAAGCTGACGTTTCGGGTCGGGACCCTTCTTCAGTAATGGGGGAGGGGAAGAGGGCTCTGAAATAAATAAATTTGGGGGGTTGGGCTGAGAAAGGTACTTGAGATGGTGATAGCAGGTAGGTAGTGGTGGGGACTGGTCAGTGAGGTGGGAGGAGCAGATAGGTGGAAGAGAAGACGAACAGGTCAAGGAGGTGGGGATGAGAGGGAGGGTTGGACCAAATCAGCTGGTTTCATTTTTCGAAAATATCTGTTACTTTTGTGAAGGCATTTGTGAGCTACTATTTTGAAATTCAGGCTCTAAAAATAGCTCAAATATGCTAAAGTATATAAATCACCACACATGTGCTACAGATGAAGCCCAACAGTGGTTCATCAGGATAATTCTTGAGATGACAGGGTTGTCTGATGGGGAAACTGGGTCTGCATCCTCAAAGTCTAAACATGGAAACTTTTAAAATTCTTGCCAGAGTTGGCAGGGTGGGTATTTCCCCTGTTTGATGGCTCTAGAAACAGGAAATACAATCTCAGGATAAGGGCATGCCATTTCAGACTTTGATAGGTAGAAGTTATCCACTCAGGAGGGTGGTAAATCTTTTACTGTGAAATATTGAGCAGGTTCAAGACAGAAAATTGATAGTTTGCGAGAGACTACTAACACTGAGCGATATGAAGATCATGCAGAAAAACGGCATGAAGCACATTCAAACATTATCCAGAATGGAGAGGTGGTTTGAATGGGCTGAATGGCCTACACTTTTTCCCAAATCACCTCCCAGTCCCCTACTTCTATTTTTTTTGAATAGGCCCAAGAGCAAGTTGCCCAGCTGCTTTTGAGACTTTGGATGCTCCACCATTCAAGGTAGCTGGAGGGGAGGAGTTGGTGGTGGAAGAACAGAATCACTCAGTATTAAATACCTCACAATAACTGGGTTAAGGAGGATTTATTTTTCCTAATATCAATAAAGAAAATAGTTCATTTACCTCCATAATTGGACTTGAAGCCAGTACCTTGTCTTCAACATTTGCTTCACTGGCTGATCCACCAACGGTAGCAAAATAGCGCATGGCATACTTAGCAGACACTGTTTTTCCAGCTCCAGACTCCCCACTTACAATAATAGATTGATTCTTCTCATCTCTGGAGAGTAGAAACCAAAAAGTCAGACAGCTTAGGTTTGTCTCTCTTCATCACAATCTTCCCTATTCCTATTTTAACACAATTTCAGTTTTTTTTATCCGTTTTAATTTTATTCTTACTCCCATTAAACTCCTGTACTCTTTCCCATCATTTTGTACACAGAACCAGAAACATTCACTTTATTTGTCTACTGTTGAATTTTACATGCATGGTCAACATAATTCAGAAATATGAATGTTTATGATCCTGTCTGAATAGACCTAAATTATTGTGCACTTTTTTGTGTAATAGAAGAAAGAATCTCATACTGGAGTCTGTTAATGGTCAATTCAGTACATCCTATTCTGACACAAGTACACCCCAGTCCTACATCTATCATAATGCTCCGATCATTAGCAAGGGTTGAACTCTATACAGAGCTGGAACCAAATTGAATAGTAGGACAGCGATATACAGGTCAATTTGGTGTCGTCAGTTAACATCACAACCAGAAAAGGAGGCTATTAAATATTTAGATCTCTCCTGATCTCCAGCTGTAATTTCAGGCAATCAGCAGACACACAGTGGAAATGGTAGTCTAGGATGTCTATTAAACTCCAGACAAAGTTACAGACAGAGGCTGGAAGCAGCCCAGCGAGATTCCAGCTGAAATCAAATCAATCTCGAGCTGTAACTGAATCAAAACATATCCAAGGATTAACCAAATACTTATTCCACTCTTTCAAGAGCTGTTTATCAATACAGAGGCATTGTTCAGAAAGGTCCTCAGGAACGACAAGGTAGCTAAAGATTTTTGTTTCAAAACAAGTGTTCGCATTTATCTTTTGTGGCAAAACGCTTCATAATTTATGCCTGTTTATGAGCATGAAGTTCAATCCCTCTGGGCGGTACATGTACGCAAACAAAGTCTTGAAGATATGAAAACTCAACACAAATATTTCCTGTAGAACAGATAATTGGACTTAATTAATATCACCCAGTCACTGCTGGATTTACTAAGTTGTCCTTACCCCCTTATTCCACCTTGGCATTCCACAGTACTAGTCTTTGAATTAAAGCAAAATTACTTTCGTATAGGAGTGCATTTAATAAATTGCTACATAATCATGTAAATATGCAGTACAAATTTTCTCCATTCTCACCTTTTTTTTTAAAAATAAGAAAGGATTTATTTGTATAAAAATTTTGTAGTAACTGTATAACTAAGTGAATCATCATAGATATTTTAGAAGACTAACCTCACATTCACAAGAGTCATTTAGCTCAGCAACTGTACTTTTGAGTACACCGTCTGGGTTTGATACCATCGGGCTCTGGGGACTTATCCATCTTAATGCTCTTCAAAAGGAGACCAAACATTGCTTCTTTCTTGATCTCAAAACGCCCTAGCATATTAGCATGCTCCACACTAATCTCACAAATCACCCAGAAGGATATGGAGGAATGCTCAAACAAAGTACTCCTTTTACATCTCTCCCACAACCTCTGTCTCCAAGCACAGGTTCTCTCCTTTATCTTTGAATGCTCACACGTCCTCCCTAGTTACCCTCTTGTTTTTAAATGTATAGAATGCCTTGCGATTCTCTTCAATCCTACTTGCCAAGACCATTTCATGGCCCCTTCTTGCTCCCCAATTCCCTGCTCGAGTTCCTTCCTGGTTTCTTTATATTCCTCATCAGCCCTGTCCGATTTTAGCTTCCTAAACCTTAAATTTTTGCTTTTTTTTTTTCCATTTTGACTAAATTCACAGCCTCTCCCATTATCCAAGGGCCCCTTACCTTGCTATCCTTGACATTTCTCCTTACTGGAACATACCGGTCCTGAACTTTCATCAGTAGGTCTTTAAACAACTCCCACATGTCAAATGTGGACTTGTCCAATAACAGCTCCTCCCAATTAACACTCCCTAACTCCTGCCTATTATTGATGTAATTTGCCCTCCCCCACTTTAGTACCTTTTTGCAAAGTCCTGATTATCTTTATAGTTCAAAGCTATATTAAAACTTAAGGAGTTGTGGTCACTTTCCAAAATGCTCTCCCACTAAAAGGTCAGTCACCTGGCCAGGATCATTTGCCAATACAAGGTCTAGTATGGCCCCTGCTCTGTTGGACTATCCACATACTGTTTCAAGAAACCCTCTTGGATGCACTTGTTACACCCCACATAAGCCTCTTGCCCTAAGAGAGTCCCAGTCAACATTGACAAAGTTAAAGTCACCCACTATGACAACCCTGTTGTTACTGCATCTTTCCATAATCTGCCTAGATATTTGTTCCTCAAATGTCTTGGTGGCGATTTGGGAGGCCTATAGTATAATCCTATCAGAGTGATTGCACCCGGCTTATTTTTGAGCTCAACCCATATTGCCCCAGTGGATGACCCCTCCAAGTGCAGATGTAACATTCTCCCTGATTAGCAGTGCAACTCCAACTCTGTTACCCTCCTCTCTATCGCACTTAAAACAACAAAACCCTGCAACGCTCAGCAGCTAGTCCTGTCCCTCTCTCAACCAAGTCTCTGTAGTGGCCACAACATCATAGTCCCATGTACTGATCCAGGCTCTAAGCTCATCTGCTTTACCTATAATACTCTTTATATTGAAATAAACACACTTCAGCCCATGAGTAGCATCTCATGTGTGTCTCTCTGCCTGTTCTTTTTTTCTGATTTACTGGTCCCAACATCTACCCTCCCCTCAAGGCCTTCACTTGCTGACCTGCTGTTCTGGTTCCCAGGCCCCTGCCACTCAAGTTTAAATCTTCCCGAGTAGCCCTAGTGAACCTGTCTGCGAGGATATTGGTCCCCCTCCAGTTTAGACGCATCCATCCCTCTTGTACTTGTCACCCCTGCCTCAAAAAAAGATCTCAATAATCCAAGTCTTTGAACTGAGGCGAGGAGGAATTTCTTCAGCCAGAGGGTGGTGAATCTGTGGAACTCTGCCGCAGAAGGCTGTGAAAGCAAAGTCACTAAGTGTATTTAAGACAGAGATAGATGGGTTCTTGATTGGTAAGGGGATCAAGGGAGAAGGCAGGAAAATGGGGTTGAGAAGCTGATCAGCCATGATCGAATGGCAGAGCAGACTAGATAGGAGCAAACTTGGGCCATTCAGCCTATGTCTTATGGGTTCAGAATAATCTAAAGTTTACTTCCCATTCCCATTGAGATAGATTTGGGATCTGCCTCCTCACCTTACCCATCAAATTCGAAGGAAATAACAAGATACTACTGAAAAACAGCTCAGGACATATCATCAGCAGACACTAAGCCAAAGACCTGACTTCAGACAAGACACCCATGAATGATGGCAAGGATTAACTTCAATAGCACCAGGATAACTAGCAGGTGCAAGAGTAATCAAACTGATTAGCTACTCCTGATCTTTATCAATTACCCTCTCTAGTAATAAAATGATATAAACAAGTAATAATGCACACTTGAATTTGTGACCTAGAGGCAAAAGCACTGTGACAAAGCAGACACTGTGACCTTGGTATGCTTGTGCTATGCTGATTTTTATAACTCCCAGGAGCACAGAAACTAGAAGCATTGTCAGCCAGAGTGTATCAAAAAACTAAGGCTCAAAGGTTCAGTCAGTTTCAAAGGTAATAGCACCAATGTAACGAATTCAGCTGTAAAATGCTTTATTGCAATTGGCTTAAACAGAAACTACTTGCAGTGCTGTTGCACATGTCCCAAAACCAACTGGAACGAAAAGAAAAATCACCAAGTCAAATAAGGTTTCTAAATTTGGTTGGACAAAGGTCCCCAAATATTTTCACATGGTTCTTCTGTCTCCAAATACAGCCACATCTTTGACATCAATTGCAGCACAGATTCCTTCTCACAGAACTTGTCATGCCAATTGAAGAAAGAGAATAAACTTTTCTTTAGCTGACTGACTGAACCAAGACTCATGCAACTTTTTCCCTTCCTCCCTCCCTCCATAAAAGTTGATAATTAACAAACAAGTGTTTCAAACTATTGAGAAAAACATTAATTCACAGACTTAAGTGACTGTAGCAACATGAATGCAAAATCCTTAGTGATAGGAAAGAAAGCAATGGTTAATGGACATTCTTCAGACTGCAGTAAACGAGATAGTGGACTTCCCTACAGTTCAGTATTGGGACTCAGGGGAGTCAGTGGATTAGTAATCCAGAACTCCTAGCTAATGTTCAAGGGGACTTGTAGAATTCAAATCCTACCACATAGACCGTGAAATTTGACTCGACTAAAAATAAAAAATGTCTACAGCCATTGATTGTTGTAAAAACATGTGGTTCACTAATGCCCTCCAAGGAAGGAAATCTGTCATCCTTGTCTGATCTGCATGGAATTCCACACCCATAGCAATGTTGTTGACTCCTAACTGCTCTCAAGGGAATTAGGAATGCCAATAATTGCTGGCCTGGTGAGCAGTATTCACATCCCTTAAATTTTTTTCCAAAAATACTCAAGAAGCAAGAAACAACTGCAAAATTTGTACGATATAAAATTTGAGAGCATTGTAAGCTATGAGGAGGACTGTGTAGAACTTCCAAAGGACATAGACATGTTGGTGGAATGGGCTGACAGATAACAAATGAATTTCACTGCGGAGATGTGTGAGGCGATACATTTTGTACTAAGGACATGAAGGGGCAGTACCAAATAAAGGACACCATTCTAAAAGGTGTGCTGGAGCAAAGAGATCTGGGTTTATATGTGTGAGTCATTAAAGGCAGCAGAACACGTAGAGAGCGCTGCTCATAAAGCATACAGTACACTGGGTTTCATCAAAAGGGCCATAGAGTACAAAAGCAGAGGTTACGAGGAGTTTAAGAGACTAGTTATACCTCTGATGGAGCACTGTGAACAATTCTGAACTTCCAACACTTCAGGAAGGATGTAATGTATTGGAGAGAGTACATAAGTTTACAAGAATCATTGCAGGGATTGAGAAACTTCAGCTATGAAGACAGATTAGGCAAGTTGGGACTGTTTTCAAGAGGAGATTTGA